AAGAACTAGAACACAATGATGAAATTCAAAATCGACCTGATCTAATTGTGTGTATATATAAAGCAAAATTAGAAGAGCTGAAAAATAATTTGTACAAAAAAAATATCTTAGGCCCCGTTGTTGCGCACATATATGTTATTGAATTTCAAAAAAGGGGATTTCCTCATGCACATCTATTGTTAATTCCCGCTTCTTCAGTCGCTATCGTTGGCTCTTCTCTTGACAGGAAATGTCAAGGTCGGGGTTTGATTGTTTTTACATATGTTTAATTTATGTTTTATTTTTATAATAAAGTGCGTTCATATGCACTTTGGTTATTTGACCTCTGAATTAAGTGGAGTTTGGTCAAGAACCTGATTTAATGTATAAGTCTTTATGTACTTCTAAAACAGGAAAAAGAGAGTTTTTTATGAAACATTATTTCTTTTATACAAATGTACGTAATGAAATTTTATAATACAATTTTCCATCTAATCTTAACATTCAAGACGCTAATATTATCTTAAAAATACCACAACCGATGCATTGCACGGATGTAAAACTAGTCTTCAGAAAAGATTCTTAGTAATTGTAGTGGTAATGAAATATGTTATATAACAGATTCTGAGGTGGATTCCATCTCAAGATTCTTTATACGGCCCCTTTTAGGTAGTGGACCAACCCACAACCCACTAACATCAAATCAGCACCACCCACTAGAAAATGTATAACTTAAGAGGATATGTGCTTAGTGCTCAAGAATGTGGATTTCCTTTCTTACTCTAATGCTACGAGTGTTGTTTTTATAATTTATTTACTTTAGAAGACATAAATTAATTGATATACCGGTAGTTTTAGAACAAATGATTCAATAAAATATATATAAATATTTGCCCATGTGCCTTTTTTTTTTTTTAACTTCGACTATTTACTATTAAGATGTTTTGAAGTCACCAACTATCAACAATTGAGATATACCATTAAGCTTTTTTTAAATATATATAAATATTTGCCCATGTGCCTTTTTTTTTTTTTAAACTTCGACTATTTACTATTAAGATGTTTTGAAGTCACCAACTATCAACAATTGAGATATACTATGAAGCTTTTTATAGTTGCTCTGTCACAATTTGCTTTCATTTTGTGGAGAGAAAGATCCAACGACTAATGAGAAGGAATAAAAGAAATTGTGTCGTCGGAATAAACTTTTCTTGTTGGTCATAATTACAAAATATGAGCATTATTAATTAATTAATTATATTTTTTCTCTTCCGTGTTAATTCCCACATGCATATTTTAGCTAAAGACACTTGTAATTAGAGTTGGCAATGGGCCGAGCTGGCATTACAAAATATGAGTATTATTAATTAGGGAAGATTACATATTCAAGAGTATAAGTTTAGTTTATTTCAAAA